GTTGCAAGTTGGTCCCCATACTTTTGATTTCACACTTTTCATTGATTTTTCTTTTGTTTCTTTCAATTTCGCGTTCAACAATTGAGTTTTACTTATATAATATAAAATACAACAATTTATGATATATTTTGTCAAGAGAACTACCAAATATCGATATTTTAGATTTCGAATAAGTGTATAAAATATACTTATCATCAATCTTTGGAGACTAAGAACTAGAAGATTGCTAAAAAGTATTAGTCTCACACGAAGTAGTTCTTCTAATTAGAATGGAGATCATTTAGTTGATATCTCATTCGGGAGTTCTCTCTTTATGGTCATATTTCTCGATCTTTCTAACTTGCTTCTATTTTTTAAAAAAGATTACTATTTCTTCACTTTATGGAAACCTTGCACGCATTCGGTATCTATTAAATTGGTTTCTTAATAGTGTTCGATTACATCAGTTTATGAATGTCTTCGTAGTGGATGCCGTCAATGAAGGCAAAGAAAGAAAATCGACTATGGATAATTTTTTGATCATAAGCATTTCGTCGAGGATTATATAAGATTGTGATCTTTGCTTCTAGGATTCAAGAAAACAAGATTATTAAGGTAGTGTCTACTGACTAGATCTTTAATTAAATTTGATAGTCTAAATTTCGAATGAACAAACTCTAGCCAAGGTTTTTATTTCTTTTCTTATGTACGATTCTGACGTCAATCACCAATTCATGTAACATTCAAGATATAGAGTTATGTAATGTTCCTAATTATTTTTATAATGAATTATCTTAGTCTTTATGCATAAAATAAGTCCTTCAAAATATATTTTTTATTCATCTTTTATGAAGCTATACAAAAATATTTATGGCACATAATATTAAACGAGCCGTGAGAATATTTTATTTAGGTTTCAAATAAATACTAAAAAAACGTATAATATTATTAGTACGTTCTCCCATTTGCGTGGAGATTTCATTTTCTTTTATCATCATATTTAACTGTAACTCCTACATAAAATAATGAATTAAGTAAATTAAACAAAATATCATCATTTGCAATGGAAAATTGATTAATTAGAAGGGTATTGTTATAAAAAGAGAAAAAAAGAAAAGAAACAATGAAATTCAATAGACTTTTATGTATTATAATAATAATAATAATCAAAACTCCATATTTGTGAAGAAGGATTAGAGGTATAATGGTAATAATTTTTAGGATTGCAGGGGTACAATTGTCATTTACTAATAAACTTACCATTTACAACAGATATATATTTATATTTTGGGATTATTGATTTTTTCCTTACAAATATAAGAAAACATTTGGAAATACGTATTCAAACCCACTTGGGCTCTGGAACATGTTGGCTCACTACATGAGCCAACGTGTATATTAGACTTCAATATTAGGCCCCCGTTTGACTCCCATTATTTTTTTCATTCTCATTCTTCTACTTATTTTCAACCACACATTTTTTAATAAAATAATATTTTTTATCACATCAATAACTTTTCCTTCATTTTCAACCACATATTCCACATCACATCACTTCAAAAAAATGCATTCTTTCATTTTAATGTACACCAAACGGGCTCTAGATAGGCAAAACACAAGCAAGTGTACCCCTCCGCCTTTCATTAACATCGATAGTAAAATATAATACAAATTTAGAAGGAGCAAGCCTGACCTCCAACCAAAGGTAAAAATAAATAAACTTACCCTTTTGAAAATGGACAATTCTTGTGGTACATTATGGGATCCATAAGGGTTTACATAATGAACACTTTGCGGCCTACAATTGGTTAGAGTGTCGGTCCCACAGGCACTCCCACCAATTGTAGGCCACAATGTGTCCATTATGGATCCCTTTATGGATCCCATAATGTACCACAAGAATTTTCTTTTGAAAATAGAGAGTAAAATGTAAAAACTTCATGCATCTTAGTCGTACTTATGTATAATATTTTTCTAGTTCATGATCAATTTCGTAGACTCCCTACTTGAAGAAGTTTATGTAAGTTTATTAGGTTAACTTGTACCAGAGGTCCCAAACTACAATGTGGTCCCAAACTTACAAATTAATATGCAGAATAAGGTTCCTTGAATGATTTTATCTAGAAAATCGTTAGTTGACCCATAAGTCGCTCGACCAAAATTTGACCAATTTAAAGTAGGGCAATTTTTTTTTTTTTGTTTGCATATAATCACAATTAAAATGATTGAAAAAGTTTGGAACTTCGACTGCAAAATTGAAACCCAAAATTAAAGAAATTAGGAATATGAAATCAATGTTGAAATTAACTTTTTTTTCCCCCACTTTTCCAATTCTTAAATGGGTTTAATAATGATAAATTTATCAATATTTTTTTAAAAAACTTTTAGTCAATTAGATTGAAAGGTATAAAAGTTGCTTACCCTTTTATTGACTCATTTGTGGATGATATCTCCAAACATTTTGTTATAAACTTTCGATGTGTGATAAGAATTCATTTAATTTGACTGTAGTACATTGTACATTTGGTTTGATTGTAGTGTATTGCACATTTAATTTGATTGTATTGTACTATTATATGAATAGTTATTTATATTTTATTAAATTAATCGTTTTTTTCTATCTTTTACTAATTAATAACTAATTAATAAAAAATTAAAACTCTTCAAATATTTCAATTAACTCTATTATACTATATCATGCTTGTCGAATATATTTATTTTGTTAAGCCCTTAAAACTGTATTTGGTACAACAATTTGTATGTATTATTAAATAATTTTTAGATTGATTAAAAATTAAAAATAATATTAAAATAATAAAATACTTTTTAACTTTTTTTATGCCTAGGATTCATCTAGGCTCACTTAGCCCGAAACTTCTATGTCTCGCTACGCATTACGCTTTTTAAAACATTGTGTACACGTGAATTGACTTTTTTATTTGTTTATTCTAAATTTGTTTATTTTCTCATTTATTTATTTTAGTAACAAATAACATATTATAAAAATATTTATCCGACTCAACTATTCTTAACAAATCGGATTGGGTTGTTATCAAATCAGATTGTCTTATATTCATATTTGATTCATTTAGTTAACGGATTATCAGTTTCTGATTATCGAACAGAAACACTAAATTCATCTTCCATTAATTCATCAAATTATAATCAAAATTCAATCCATTGACAACCCTAAACCCCTCCCCACTATTACCATCACCAACATCTTTATGTTACCAGCTAAATCACCCATTTCTCAACTGCATCATGAGGGATAAGATCCCCTTTAGTTTCACAACGTGATCGAAATTATCTATGTAGAAGTTAAAATTGTACTATAATTTCGCGTGACTTATAGTTGAAGGACAAAAAGGTTAGATCATTTAAAATTCTTCAATTCAACAAAAAGTCTCGTATGATTTTAATATCCGCAATGATGACTTCAATGACGTGGAAACCCATATTTTAATATTTTGAATCAGGACAGAGATCGAGAACCTCACTTTTGAAGGTAGTGATTCATAATCACACCAAATGAAAGGTTAGAGAGCAAAACCTATATTTGAATAAAATATATATCTCACTTAATTTTTTCACGTGGTGGTTATTAGTTCTTTTTGCTCCCTGGCACGAGACAAATTTCTATGAGAAAACCCCCGCAAAATAGTGCCATAATCCTCACAAAATTTAAACTACTCGTTAGTATAATTACACAAAATATTGACCCATAATATATATTGAAAACAAGCCTTAATCCGGTAGTTAATTTAAAAATTATTATCCATGCTGCTGGAGCCACAGCATCTGAGAGCTGTGAAGGAAATTCTGTATGTTCCCCACAAATGTGTATTTATCCCCGTATTTTGGCTTTAGAAGTAGAACAATTATTGAAGAAAATACTGCAAATCTTTATTTTCGTTAGTTGAGTATCTTTTTTCTTTTTTTCTTTTTTGTGTAAGTCACATTGCAGGCATCAACTTTTGACTAAATGGTACAAAAAAGACATTACTTTATTCCTAATTTTTTTTTCCACATGTATTGATGTCATTGATCATATATGGAAAAGAGCAAAACGGAAAGAAAATCGAAGCGAAAATACGATATTTTTTTAGACTGAAATAGCATAGAAAATCATAAAAAAAAATACATTTCCAGCTATGATGAATATTTCTTTGCTGGAAAACAATGCTCAAAATTATTCACTTCCCTTTACAGTTAGAAAAAAAAAAAATCTGTTCATTCTGATTCCTTTTTAATGGTTGGCACCTCAAATATTTCCAACACTAGTTTTGTATTTTTTGAAATTTTAAATCGGTCTCCATACACCCTTTAACGAATGCAAGACTTAAGTTATTAGATAACATGATCACCAAACGGAAATTTGTCATTTGTTTCAAACTCGAGCATAGACTAGTACTACCCCGAAATGAGATAAGAATCTAATAATTAATTTTTGTGTCAACCAAGCAATAGTATTACTTGTCACATGTTAGTTTCCTGACCATATAAATAAAATTCACAAAGGGAAAAATAAAAAACCTAACTTTGTTAGCTTGGTCCCCAAATACAAATGTAGACAATAAATGGTCTATACATTTGCAAGGAAAATAACAATAATTATGTTAAAATCAATCATTTTTTTTTTTGGATGAATTCTTAAAATAAAGTCAAAATAAATAAATAAATAAATAAATAAAATCGTGAAGTTACTATTTTGTGCTGATTTAAAGTATTAAAAATAAATTTCAGACTACATATACGCATCCACACATCGAATTATTTATTGTCAAGATACGATGCATCTATGGTGTGTGATCGATACTCCAAGGATGGGAAAGGTAAAAATGTTGGCAAGAAATCTTGTTTAGCTACAAGTAGAAATTATTTCTGTTAAACATTTGTAGCAGGAGACACCTTCACCAAATTATATATAATAAACAACTTCAAAAACTAGCTAGAGATATTTCTTAAATTCAATATTCTATTTATAAGCTATAATACATCCTTAATTGAAGAAAAGGGGATTATACTGTCAATTGATATATATTGAGTCTTCTTCCATGCAGCTCCTGCATACAAGTTTCAAACAGATTTTGCATTATTATTTCATAAATTCAGCAAGATTTCCCATATATATGAAGGTGAAGTCATCAATGTTAATGGTAAACCTCACATCGAGTAACATTGAAATAAATACAAAATATATAAGGTCAACAAGATTCCCTTTTAAGGTCGAATCCCAATTTTAAATGAGTAATTTGATATGACTGAGAGTCGAATGAGCACATGAATCTAAAGATTGATATTTTCAAACGAGTCACCATCATGCGAAATTATGTTGATGTTAATTCCCACATCAAATAATGAAAATCAACAATTTAATTTAACTAATACTTAATTATATGGCTTTAAGTTACCTCTCTTAACAAGGTCAACATTTAAGATGAATCTCGAAGTCCTAGTTTCTGTTTAGTTTAGCTAAAAAGTTGATAAAATCTAAGTAAAAGTCAACCATTAATTTTAATATTATATTTAATGAGATCCACAACTTTTATCAACGCTCAAACATTTCGTCAACTTTTATCAAAATATAATAAAAATCTTATTTTTAGCAAAATCAATCATGGACTTCATAGTCAAGCAACCAATTCCCCCAAAAACGGTTGCTAATATGAAATGTGCAATCAAACCCTTTATCGCCCAAGATCAAGATTAGGAATCGAGCCAATCACTATTCATTTGAGCATTACTTTGAAAACCCTTAAAATTATGTCCACAGGTTTATTGAAGCAATGCTCTTGCATCAACTTGGAGCTATTACATTCGAAAGGAGGGTTTAAATGCTTATTATGAAACCCTAACCCTAAATTTTCCTGGAGAATACATCTCTGATCTGATACATATATCTGAATAATACATATGCATGCACTCACTCAAAAAAAGAACAAAAGGAATATGAGAAAATTAAGCAGCACTCTTAAATAATAGTAGAATTTAATTAAGTACAAGAATGAGCAAGAAAATTAATTAATCAACAAACTAGTACCTCCATGAGCTAAAAGCTAGTAATTTACATGAAAATAATGGAGTTTCTATGTAAAAATGTAGCGGGTTTATGTCTAAAGAAAACCAAAACTTCATTTGTCAGTAGGAAAACAACATACCAAAATGCACAGCAAAGTGAATTTCCCTTTTACTCCTCCTTTGTCTCCTTTAGAATTCGTGAAGGCAGCATATCTTCAAGAAGTCCATGGTCTCTGGCTAAAGGAGCTGCAGAGGGGTAAAAAGGTCTTTCTTGAAGTGGTGGAGGAAGTAAGGAATTAGTATAGGTGAAACTCAAAGGTGGTGCCAAATTATGGAAATAGGGTTGCTGAATTTGATGCTGTTGGTTTTGATAATGAATCACTTGAGGTATGGCAAAAGAAGAAGAACCACCACCATAAGAGGTGTTTTCCGACAAAATTCCGAAGCTTCCACGAGGCGTTATAGGACACTGGTGTGTGTGGGTACCTTCATAGGTTGTGACAACTATGGATGGATCCTCTGATGATCTTTCAACTCTTTTCTTCACACCACAGGCTGTACTAGTGCAACGATAATAGCTCCTGCGCAAAAAAATTCATAACCCCACAAATTATTTTTATCAAATCTACTCATAATCATTCATATCTTTATGTCACTTTTCACTGCCTTATCAAAATAAGAAAAAAAAATGATTATAATTGAAAAAGTGAAAAATAAGTACATACACAAGAATGTATCTATAATTAGTGTGTATACTCGTGTGTGAATATACCTTGGAAAGGGGCTGTTTTTCACAGCCTTTTGGCCGTACTTTCTCCACCTATATCCATCATCCAAATGTTCAATTTCACTCTTTGTCATGAACGCAAATCTCGGTTCTCTTTGCCTCTTTTGGTTCTTCTTTTTGGGTTTCAACCTAAAGTTACCAATGAAAATTTAACTTTTTTTTTTTACCTCAAGCAAATAAAAGACAGAATATGAGCATAATCAAATCCATAGGATTTAAAGTAATCAGAACATGCACAACAAAAAACCCTTTTAATCCCGTATTGAACTTCATCGTATAAAAGCTTAAGAGGATCTAAAAAATTGGGAACTTCATCTTTGTACACATTAAAAAAGAAAAAAAAAGGAAAAAAGCTCACTGTTGTTTGGTCTTTTCTTGGTCGTTTTCTTCTTCTTCTTCCACAGTTTTACTCTGTTTATCATTAGCAGCTTCAGTTGAAGACGAAGACATAGATGAAGAATTCGGGCTGGACGGATTGTTGACCAGTTCAGACGACTCTGGAACAGTCGAAGGCGGTGATGTAAGAGGCTGTGACTGTAGTGGAATCACCGGCGGCGTTTGCAATAAATCAAATATAGAGGGGCTAGTATAATCTTGAACATTAAACATGTCTATGAAGCCTAAAGAACCCTTCTGATCAACCTCGCTTGGCGTGTCAAACATGCTATTTGCCATGAAAAAAATGTTTGATGGAATCATCTGATGATTATGATCGGAAAGTGATGCGTTTTCAGTTGAATTATCCTCTTTCTTCTCCATGGATTTGATTATAGGCACAAATTCTCCATTTGATTTTAGAGAGAGAGAGAGACTTTGTTTTGTTCTCTGGATTTTAAAGTGTGGAGAGTTTGTGATGAGACTTCCATAAGTGCTTTTCTCGGTGGGTTTTGGACAACAGGGTGGCCCCCACAAACTTTTTTTGTTTTAATAATTAATCTCTTCCCCTTTTTATTCTTTTATGGCTCAGCCTAGGTAGATCTTACTATCTATTAATTAATAATAATAATTCTCTGGTTGCCTCATTTTTTTAATTTATTTTTAATCACAAAAATATAATTTTAATCAACATTTCAACCATATATTTCATAATTATTTTTATCAAAATTTACTAAAAATTTAATTTATCTCATAAATCTAAGTTTGGATTGAGAATTTTCATTAAATAATTAAAATAGTAATTTATAGAGGTTATGCTGCAATTTATCTTCTCTTTTTCTATAATAAGTAAAATAAAAATTCGAAATGAGTTATACCTTATAGTTCTTAATATCTAATAATAAGTGTATAAAACTTTAAGGGCATGTGTGGAGTGGATTTTGATAATTTCAAAGTTATTTTTAAGATTAAAAAGTTTATTTCAAGTATTTTTTAAATAATTTTATTGAAGTGTTTCGTATTATAAGAGCTTGCTTTTAGAAGAAGTAGGTTTAATTTGACATTTTTATGAATCTCTTCTATAGTTAATAGAAGCAAAATAAGAAATACTTCCTCCATCCCATAAAAAAAGTAGATTTGCTTTCGTTTTTTGCCAGTATCAAATTATAGATCACTGTTCTTGTTGAAAATGAGTTCTGCTTCACGTACAGAAGCAGAACTCACAAAAATTTAACAGATTCTCACAGCAGGTGGTGGGTGGATTTTTTTTTCTCAATATTTTACTCACATGGGGCCCACCCCCCATGTGAGAGCTGTAGGAATTCTGGAAAATTTGCTCGTTGAAAATATAGCTGATATTTTAATTTTCTAACGTGTTCCTATTTAACGTGTCTTATTATTAACAAATATGAACTACTCATATTTAGATCATTATTTAATGCAGAGGTATATTAGAAAAAATATAAGAAAAAAATTATATTTCAACTATATTAATTACGTTTTCTTAATTCGTGTGAAAATGAAAGTATGGGATGAAAGGAAAAAAAAATTATCCCTCTAAGCCGGCATGTCCGTGCTTAAAAATGACATTCTTGACATTACGTAGTTATTGAAAAGGAACTATTGAGAAATGTAGCTAAAATGTCATCGTCAAATACGACTAAAAATTTACTTTACTAACTTTCCAGGCAGTGCCGATTAAAAATGACCGGAGAAGTGCCCGGTGGACAGTTGGTACGGAAACTTAAAACGGTGGGGGACCGTCGGCACTTAATGCTAAGGACCGACCATACAGTGGTCCAGCAAAATTGTTGACCTTTTCTCACGCAAGACTGTGACCGGCAACTGGTTACTGTGTGGATGGGTTTCCGAATTCACCTAAAATTGAGGGAAAACGAGCCTTCAAGAGGTGAAAATTAGTTCATCTTGGAATTTGTTTTTACCTTTAATTCCCCCTCAAACTTTAACTGAAACTCATTCATTGGTGACAAGAGAATGTCATTTATGCCCTTTCCTTCTATGAAATTTGCAGGGTTGTCCCGTATTTATTATTATCGATGACAATCAAAGAAGAGCTGGTGAAGTTAGCTTTGTCGCTAAGCAAACTTTAGAGCTCGTAACGCTCATGATGCTTTCGTGTAATAGACGTTATTTTATTCAATATTTAGTTGAAAGGGTCTTAATTGCACGACGCTGATGTGGTTGTCTGTAGTAGTTTTCATATGGTACGCTTTGAACAAAAAACTTTAAATTTAAGAGTTAAAAAGATTACTATACTCTTATTTTAAATCTAAATCAATTTCAATTTCAATTCTAAGACTCCCATTCATAAGTAATTCCAAATATGTGTAAGCAAATATCGATTACGTTTACAAGCAGAAAAATTTAAATGGTAAAGAATTAGGATGAATCAAATGAAACAACGTAAATCCTTATCATTTATGGTTATGCTTCTTAAAGTTATGGCCTTCTCCACTTTAGGTTGATAGATTCGTGGGTTTGGTGTTAGGACCATCACCTTTTTAAGCTATATAGTTGCATGGTCTACACCAAGATTAAGTGTACTCATTATGACAATGTTGTGGTAACAAAATTGATGTGCTTTATAGATTCTAATCACTATACATTAAAGGTCCCAAATTTGGTAGCTGCAACCATCAAATGAATTCAGTCATGTTTGTTTAATAAAAGTAAATTATATGAGAAAAAGAAAGTGGTTATTGAAAAAAAAAAAAAGAGTTAATACTTGGTTGATAGATAATATTTGCAACCCATACTAGCGGTGTAGTGGATAATTTTTTAGTTGAGTCGAAAAATGAGCCTCTTACAGACGGGTTTTTGTCGTAATCAATCTACGTGGCATAAAAGGGCAATGTAGGAAGTATAATTCAAGTTAGGTGATGTGGGAACAAAATCAATGAAATTTCTTCCGAGAAAATACATAGAAATTATCCCGTTTCAATGAATGTGAATGACGAAAAAATCCGCATTGTCACCGACTCATCACCTTACATTTCACATTTACATATTTCTTAATGAGAATACATACAATGACAATGTACGTATCTTTCGTTAATGTAAAAACTCGCACTTTCATGAATATGAATGAGTATTTATTTGATCGCCAAATCCATTGTCTTTAACTTCTTCCAATGTATTTATTGCATCACTAGAATTTATGGTTAGGACCTAGGGGTAGGAAGAGGGGGAGGGTGGTAGGGGCCTGGCTCACATGAAATATTTAGAAAAATCTTAATAAAAATTGATGAATCGTGGATTCTGTAAAATGTTTGATTAAAATTAATTATTAAATTTGATTTAGATTTTTATTAACATTTTATCTAAATCAAATAAGGATTTATTTACCGTCATGAAAAGTTTATTAGACGATCAAATTATATCAATATAAATAAAAAATAATGGAAATTCATTTATTAATTTTAATGGGTCAAAATAAATAAATAAATAAATAAATTATGACAGCTACATTTTGTTGACGTTCTAGAATGTGAACACAAAGGTATTCTTGTCATAATTAATTATTATATGACCAAGCAAAACTAATATATTCCTCTTTTCTTTTTATTTTATCTTTCAATAGAAGTCTTTGTCGATTTTATGCATAAGAGTACGTAAACGAGGATGATACAACTTTATATACAATTAATTTTGCATACATGAAGATGTAAATTTTTCAAATTTTGCGAATCTTACTTGAAATTACTTTAGAAAATATCAAAACTCTAATCATGAGTTTAGAGGTGATTCAAACTTGAAGGCATTGACAAAATGTATGGGGGCATTTTATAGAATAATCATTAAAAATGAATTTAAATAAAAATGATGGCTGATGGGATATGAAGTAGTACCTACCGAAGTCGTTGATTCTGACAAAATTACTGATATCGATACTATTAATATTTATTGATGCATATCTCTTAACAATCAATGACGCACATTCTTCATTGATTGATGTTGCCGGTAATCGGCGATGGTGTTGCCGACAAAGAAGCGTGTACTCTTTATTCATTTTTTTCTTAACATTTCGTCAGTAATTCAAGATTTCTTTTTATTTATTTATTTATTTATAATATTTTGACTGTTATCCATTCCCGACCAAAAAAAAAAAAAAGTATTCATGAATATTGAAGTTTATATTTCAAATATATTGTTAATCAACGAAACTTCCGTTAAATTAATTTTATTGAAATATCAGAAAATTCATTCGTGATCTTATATTATTTTTTAATGGTTATTCGACCGACAGAATTTTCTAAAGCAGAAATTCTAAATTTTTATTAATTTATTTATTGAGATAAATTTTTATTCAAGAACTCGATTTTTAATTTTAAAAATGCAAATTAGTTAATAGAAACTCATAAATTAGAGTCGGCAGAACAATTATTTCGATCATATAATACTTTTCAAAATGTTATGCGACTATCCACGAATTTTCCTCTAATGTTTTTTTGTCAACATGTTTCTTGTTAAATTAATTAATCTTGACCGGGAAAATCTCCATCCTCAATTCGTCTTTAAAAATATCATTTGCTATTTCTGGAAAGGTAAATTTTCAACTAATCCATGTAATTTACTTTAAATCATTGTACTGCATTGACTTATTCAAGTTACGAGTTTAATTTTGGAATTACATAAGAGTAATTGTTATAATATTTTTTAAAAAAAAAATTTACTATATACTTCTTCCTTAGAAAGCAAAATAAAAAAACAAAAAGGCTAATTGCAGACTTAATTATATTATAATTAGGGTTTTACGCACAATTGAATAATGTTTTTACGACAAGTTGACTGTTGTTTACTTCCTACATAAGTTTTGGTGTTGTTAGGAGGGACAAAAGTGCACCGTGTATTTAGCTTAATCAAACATAAATATATTGTTCTACGCAACTGCAATATTTTACGGCCTACAAAAGTTTAATTATGTTTTTTTAATTCCGATATATATGTAAAATCGAATTTCAAAGTGTAATAAAGTGAAATTGTCTAGTTTTACGTACCAAATACGTTCGATATTATTTCATTTCATTTGAAAAAATTAAAAGATGTACAAAACTTACAAGTAGCCGACCAGAAATTTCGTAGTAGTTGTGTGTGTGGAGATAGATATACTTTATACTAAACAAACAACAACAAAACAACGCTTTATTATGTTTATGTCTTCAAAGATAAATTCCTGAATCATAATTCCTCTAATGATATAAGGGATTTAGTTGCAATCGCAGTGCAGAGTGCAATATTAAACCCCTATTGTTACAGTTTCTTGAAAATTTATTTTCAATCACATTCTCCAAATAAAATAATTTCACACGAAGATCCATAACTTTTCTATGTTTTTTTAAACAACATATTCTCCAAAAGTATCA